CAGCCTCTGGTTATAATGATCCAGAACGGTGGTCAGTTTGAGTGCAGACTAATTGAATAATGGTCATATCAGCGAGCGAGTGGGAGTGCAAAGTGATTTACTGCGCTGAGGAGCGTGCTTATCTCTCCCTGCGTCCCATGCAGGAAACACTGGGATGTCACCGGGCAGATTAAAAGCTTGGCACAGCTGATACGAAGCGCTCAAAATGGATGGGGTGGGGACCTCTGACTGCTGTGCGAGGGGTTTTTAGAGGGGAGGGGACGGGCGGTGGTGTGTGACCTTATGAGTCCTGTTTGGCAGGGATTCATTCAAAATCTGGGAATTCCACTGGAAGTGAAGAGAGGGGGGGGGATGTAACATCATGTCACTTGAATGGAATTTGGAGTAGTAAGCGTATTTTTGGCTCAATGAATCATGGGCAGAGGTTTTTATTATTCACTTTTTTGGAGCACATCAAAGTTCCCTCATACAAAGATTTAATTTACCAACAAAACTGCACAAGTGTAAAACTCTGAAGAGATTCTGCTCGGAGGAGAAGTTTAAATGAAATGTTTCTGGATCAGCTGCCTTTCTTTTAATGAAGTGAATGTTTTAAGCTGTTGTTGTGTGCAGCTGTATTACTTATAATTGAATTCCTGACAGCTGCAATGCTTGGAATTTTAACCACTTCTTACAAGGGCTGCAAAACAAGCCGGACCTTTTATTTCACAAAGGCCTTACACATGCACGATTTGGCATAGCATTGACAAAGGAGTGATTTTATTCTCAATGTGTATTTGAGCTTTTTTTTAAGCAGGTGAAGAGTGAAGCTAGCAGGGTCTCTTTGCCTCTTGAATTGAGGCAATATGTTCAGACCGAAGAGAGGTGTTTGATGGGAACACAGGCAGACAGATCTGGAGGAGCAGCTGCATGGAGGACGCTGGGCCAAATATAGAAAGGGGACAAGGGCCAAAACATATCACACATTTTTTCCCATTAACAGCATAGGTTTGAATCTAACTCGGCGCCAATTAGTTGCAGTATAGGCGCAAGGACTTAAAAATAGAGCCTGGTAGGGGTGACAATACACTCGGAACGCGGAGACAGATATCTCTGTCATGGCGGCGTGTGATTTCACGTGTAATCATGTGAAGGAAAAATAACAGCGTTCATATCACCAGCTGGTTCGTTATAACTCTGTGACTGGAAAGGTTATGTGACAAATGGAGCTGCAGACATTCACTGCCATTACCTGTCATGCTACTTTTGAGTGCGGAGCTTCGGCTGAGGTTTATTTTCAGTCAGATTTCGGGTGTGTTTGGCAGGATCTGTGCTGCTGTATCAGTGTGAACAGACGTTTCTACCCGCTTGGTTCCAACATTTGCGTGCCTCTTATCTCTGGAGTAAAGGGCTGGAATGAGGGGCATGCAGGCTTAGGGTCTACCTGTTTACTCTGAGAGCTTCCTCCATTGTCCCCCCCACCTCCCCTCCCATGCTTCCTTTTGAGGGATTTTTCACATTTTTGTGTTCGTTGTTTTGGGAACAGGTCATGGGCTCGCCACATGGGAGCCTCCTCTGGCATTCCTCAATCTCTGTCTAGTCGGGCTCAGCAGGAATTCTTTCCTACAGCACATATCGACTCTTTCACACACACCTGAGATATTTTTATAGCAGTCTTAAATGGTATGACAGAGTGTCATCACTTTATCCTTTTTATACAGAGCTGAAACTCAATAACTTTTGTATATTCCTTTGATTCCTTGTCTTCAGCCCGAGGTTTACTGAGGAATGAAGTTATCCCTTGTTCACTAATCCCTTTCTCTACAGGAATAGACTCTCTTCAGTCCCGTTTTGGTAACTGTTATGCAACTCATGATAGTTCATGGTTAAGCATATACATGACCAGCTAATACCCTCAGTAATACGGTTAAAGCTAATCTACTGGACTCCACTACCCCTGTAAACTTAATTGTATTTCTATTTTTGTAAGGACTAAAAAAAAATGCTTACATCGACTTGTCTTTAGGTACTTATCTTTCTGTACTCAATGTTCTGTTGATTTGAGCTGAATTTATTTCTTTAATAGGAGTACATTAAAGAGTACATATTATCCCCCTCTTCCACCTTTTCAAACAGTCCCCTGTGGTCTAAATGAAACATCTGTGCTGTGCTTTGGTCAAAATATAACATGAATCAAGCACCAGAGGAGGTTTGTGACCCTGTAGAAACCAGCTCTCTCAGAACGCTCCGTTTTGGTGTGTGTGTCTCTTTAAATGTAATGAGCCCCCCCTGAGTTTTCCCAGCAGACATCATTCCTCTGTAGCGAGAACAAAAGACCTGCTCAAAAGTTTTGTTCTAGGCTGGGGGTGGAGTCCATAGGTGGAGATACCAGGGGAGAGGAGGTTTTTTTTTTGGTTTTTTTTACCAGAATCCCACTGTGACATCACAAGGAGAGCAAATTGGAAACAGAGCATTTTCCTCTGTGTTGTTAGACTTATGCAGACCACAAACAAAGGACTGGATGGGTTTATTTAACATTTTGTGGGTCAGTAGACACTCAGGTTACCCAAATATACATTCAATAACACTGTACAAGTGGATTTTTCATAATATGTCCCCTTTAACTAACTCATATTGCCCCTTTTTGATCACCTTGTTGTTGATCATTTATGACAAATTGATGAATGTTTCTTATATTTTGTGATTCCTTTATTTATGTTAAGTGTTTTATGTCTGAAACTCAGTAAATTGAGTGGCTGCCTGTCTTGACCAGGACGCTCTTGTAAAAAAGATTCTCTCATTAATCTCAATGAGACTTTTCCTTTTGAAATAAAATGTTAAATAAATAACCTCTGATTGCACCTGTTTTAATTGATTTTGATTTGAACTTTGCTTATGAATTTAATGTCCGTTTTAACTGATCTTTTTTGTCTCTATGATGTATATTTTTCTCATTTTTTATCTTGCATTTGAATATTTCTATCTGCTCAACGTCATTGTAAATGAGGGCTATGCTCTCACTGAGTTTCGTGTTTAAATAAATACAGAACTTAAAAATCTAATTTTATAGCTTGTACTCGATCACACAAGGCCAACGCACGCCTCTGCTCTGATTTGACTTTGATACTCAGCGTCGGTTCCCTTAAAATAAAGCCTTTAAGGTGAATCTTAACCCCTCTTCTTGTTCTTTGACATCAACTTCTCCTCTGCAAGGGTCCTCAGGAGCTAATGAAGAGCCCACTTAATCCTTCTAATCTGCAAGAGGTCTTCAATGAGATTACATCCCCGCACGAATACTACAACTGGACACAATTCACCATCTGCTGCTGCTGGTGGAGAGAACCCTGCTCTGTTCTTTCTGTGGGTTCAACACTGTTCTCTTATTTAAAGCTAAAGTAATGATCAACTTCTTTTGTTTCATGGTTTCATTTTTCCTCTCATGTCTGATTAGTGGGACTTGCCAGACTTTTTTTTGTTGAATTAGTTTTTACACAAAACATATTTCAAAAAAGGAGGACTAGATGTCAGAATCTTGGTCCACCTGTCTGCGCTGCTATGACAACTCTACATGACACACCTTTCTGAAAAGGATTATCAAGCGCTTCACTTGCAGGGTGGAAGGGGTGGAGGGGGGAGATTAACTTTAAGTAAAGATTAAGCAAATTAACCACGATGTTGTCTCCTGAAATAAACTGTTGCTGTGGAGTTAGTGCAACCGCAGTCAACATGTAGAGCATGGAATAACATTTCATGGATCCTGTCAAAACGGTTGGGATTGTCATGATGCAGATGCAGACGTAGGTGAGTTCATTTGGAAATCATTTGTGTGTGCGTCTTTCTTCAACTAAGTTTAACTTTCCACTGCTTCAGTTATGATCTGTATGTAGCATTTAAATGCCATGAGCATCAATTTCAATACCTATCTTTAATTAATCTATAATTATTACCACAGATATATCACCCTAAGAGGATTCTTTTTCCAATCTATCGACGATAAAATTACAGTTCCATCCATCTTCACTGAGTCCTGATATTAATTTGTCATTATACAAAGTGTTTTATTAACTGGTATAATTTACAAAGACGAATTCAATTGATATCAGTCCGATAAAATCTGTTATTTATTCCTTAAGTGTTCACATGAAATGGGCGGTATTTAATCAAAGACGTGTAAAAATGTGATTAGTTGGTTATGAAACATCCGTTCTGCTGGTACTTGTATGGTTTGTATGTGATGCATTGTGCTTGGGGGCCTTTTAGCGATCAGATTTGGACTTGTTGAATCATTTGTTATAACTATCACTTCTGAATTTGAATCCTTTTGAGGAAATGTGATGCAATGTTATTTGTGTGGTCGAGTGATTTAACCAAAAACAAAGACCAGGCGTAGTATCAGGATTGAAAAAAACAACATCTCTTTTCCACATTTCACCTGCTTTCATCACTTGTTGAAACTTGGGTAATCAAATAATTACAGGTTCACGTGGCAAGTTTTCCAGGAGCGAGGTCGTGTTACCTGATGGCAACAGGCTTAGGAAGTAAACAACAGATGCCTGCGAGACGCCATTCAGCTGTTTGCATATCTTAAATTAAGATGTGTCCAACACGGTGTATTATGTTGTGTTGACCTACATGAGGAAGGTCCTTGAAGCACAGATGTGTTTGATACTTTGAGGATTAGAAACATAAAAACCAATAATATTCTTCCTATGATTATTGGTTACCTTGACAACGGCAGCACTGAAGTGTATCATACTCATCTATAAATGCATTTTCATAAACAGGCAGAGCAAGTGGACCAAATCTGGGAATGATGATGATTATGAAGTTGCCACTTGGGAAACTTTTCATGCTCCTTACTAGTGACAATGTTGAGAATGTTTTAAACTAAGGTTTCAAATATTTTAGTGTTTCATCAGTTCTTTTTGGACTTTCTCCACACAGAAATATGCCCAACTTCTTTCAGTGAATATGTAATTTTCCTGTCTTTTCCCTTTCAGCCAAAAGAAAAGATGAATGAGATGTCTCTTCGGAGGGTCCTCCCTGGACAGTCATCAGGGAGTGCGCACACCTTTGGCACCCCGCGCCACACAAGCGTCATCGACCCCATCCTATCAAAGCGTGTCTGCTTCTACAAAAGTGGAGATCCTCAGTTCAACGGTCTGCGCATGGTCATCAACAACCGCTCCTTTAAAACATTTGATGCCCTCCTGGACAGTCTCTCTAAAAAGGTTCCCCTGCCGTTTGGGGTGAGGAACATTACCACGTCTCATGGGGTTCATGCAGTCAGTACTTTGGATGATTTGGAGGATGGAAAGTCCTACATATGCTCTGATAGCCGTAAGGTCAAACCTTTCAACCTGGCACGAGCCAGGAAGAAGCCGCCGCCCTGGTACCATGCCAGGCCTGCTAGTTCCCGTCGTCGAACTGTGCAGCAGGCCAGGCTATTCCCCGGCTGGAGCATCCACAAGAAGGAGCCGGTGGTTCTGCGCACACCAAAGAGGCTACTGGTTTTCCGCAATGGTGACCCCAATGTAATACACAAAGTGTTCATTCACAAGAGGACTACACCCACGTTTGAGTCCATACTGGAATATATCTCAGAGCTGATCCAGTTCCACGTGGTGAAATTACTCACGTCTGACGGCAAACGCGTAAGTGTTCCTATGACACAGCAAAAACAGAATTCACAAGCAATATGGACTGACAACCTACTAAAAAACACAAGAACACATTCACTTACCCATCCCTGCTAAGGCCAATAAATCACAAATATATGAAACCCTGTTTTAAAGACAACTTGAAAGCCTCAACTTGAAAACCCTTTTTTAAATATTACTCTTATATCTTTAGACCGTAAAGCCTAAGAATGCCAAATCCCCCCAAATAGTGTGTTCAAAGTCCTTGCTATCAGTGTTATTTTTTGTGGTATCATTATTGACCCAGAAGGAACTGGCTTAAACCTGGCCTATAAATAATCATCACCTGAGGAGAGAAAGTGCTAAGCTTCTTTGGCTCCTCTAGCTAATACAAAGAAAGGCATTCTGGGATACTGCACTATAAGGCTTTGGTAATTGAGCCATTTGTTTTGTAATTTTACCATTCTTTAAGAATTGATTTTGTGCATGCTTGTAATTTGCAATTAATATCCCTCCCTATAACACCTACAGTATGTTCAAGGCTGAAAACATGTATTTTCTTTCTATCTAGTGGTGATAAAGTTTCATGCCATTAGAGAGACAAGTGTTTTTTTTTTCTGTCCACTCCAGGTGGATGGTCTTCCAGGCTTGATATTGTGCTCTGGGACTGTAGTGGCAGCAGGCAGGGAGCTGTTCAGGCCTGCAAACTACAGCGCACAGAGCTCTTCAGCTCAAACAACGCTGCCTACCAATCGAAAAAGTATCCGAAGACTAAAGGCTTTAAACCGTAAGTTTTCACAAGAATAGATCTCGGATTTTCTTTGATTTGCTGATGAGCCCATTTATTCTCATTAATGGTCCCTTATTCATACGGCACATGCAGAGTGTCTGAAATAATCTACCTGCTCTCATGGGATGAGTGGGGAAGTGCTGAGGCATTGATACTGCACATAATACCATAGATGACCTACATACACTATGCAGGTCTATGTGGCTGTCGGCTATTGTTCTTCATGTGCTGTAAATAGTTCTTTCTCATCTTTCTAACTTTCTCTTCTCTTTTCTTTTCTTTTCACGCTTCACGGGTTTCCTCTAATCGATGGATTTTTCCTCTTCATTTTTCAACGCGTGTATTCTTTGTACCTGATTGGCCCAAAAAGGCAAAAAGAAGCTTCTATCAAACGCTCCAAAGTCGAGGCCGTTTTCCCCCTCATGTGAGAGATACATTGTGAATCAAATCAACAACTCCATGGCAGAACGTTCAAGCGAGCTACGCAGCAACCCCTCAAACTCTGTGGAGTGGGAGTCGGGTCATATCCTGGAGTCAGTGGCAGAAACAGAGGGTGAAACCTGCCTTGGCGATGGAGTTGAAGGGCAGGGGTGCTCGCTGCCCACAGATGATGACATTGAGAAGTCCTTTCGAGTGAACCAAGACGGAAGCATGACGGTGGAGATGAAGGTGAGGCTGACACTTAAGGAGGAGGAAACCATTCATTGGACCACCACTTTGACTCGATCGAGTGTGGCTAATGAGCTTAATGAAACCAGTTTACCCCCGCCGGAGTTAGAACAGATCAGCTCACCAGACTCACTTGATTTACAAAGTGCTGTTGCCTCCATCGACACAATCAGTAAGGACAAATCAAAGGATAACAATGATGAGGATCCACCTACACCATGCAATGGAGTTTTCAGCGAGTGTAGTATTGAAGACGATAATATCAAAGAACAGACTGGCTTGGTGTCCTCTTGGAGAGCTCCCACACCAGGTCACAAGCAAATCAGAACGAAGCAAACCTCAATGGAGAGCATAAAATCAGTGACAGCAGAGGGGATTCAGGAAGGTGTGGTTGGTTCTTACTCCTACAGAGAGCAGACAGAACATGGAGACATGACTGAGCAGTACTGCTTGGTCAAGCAGAGTAGTACTAGACCAGTTCCCAAACCAAGAAGACTTGGCTCTATAGATACCAACAATATAAGCAGCAGAGATGTATCCACATTCAAATCAGCAGGGATGTCTGAAATCCTGCAGGTTGAATCCAGCGGACAGGAGGTCACTGAGACTGTGTTCCACATATTTGAACAGCAGACCTGCCAGAATAACTTCCTTGCAAACCTTTGTGCGCAGGGAATGTCTGCGTCTGGAGTTCCTTTTTGCAGGCCAGCTACCTCAGAAACTGGACGGTTCTCCTCCAATAATGGGTCTGAACTTGAGTTGTGGAGACCATCCACAGCTTCTGAGTCGATTAGCCTCTGGAGAGCTGGGAGCACTTCATTAACATCTGATTTAACAATGCCTTTGCTTAAGACTGGTGCAATTCAAGAAACAAATGCTCAAAGAAGGTTGCCAAAGCCCAGCAAAGGCAGAGATAAGCCCAAACAGACTGAAATCAAGCATGACAAGAAACCAAAACTGATCAGAAAACGGGTTATTCGGCTTCGGACACCGAAGAAAAGAAAAAAAGGAAATTCTTCAGAAGCAACCGAGAACCGTAAGAAAGTGAAAACTTTCTCAAGTGCTGGGTTCCTGAGAAGAATTTATGGGAATAAATCCAAATCAGAAAAGAGCACGATGAAGATCAAAAAGGGAGCAGCAAAAAATGGAGACCAAGGATACAAAACAAAAAGCTCACCACAGTCAGATGACACCTTGAAAAGTATTCTTAAGGATCCAAACATGCCATCAGCATTGAATGAAATTGAAAGGGAGACAGACAAAAGCAGACTGAATGTTGCACCTATAGAAATGATCCAACCACGGGGAATACTGACACGTCAGACATCAATGCATCAGGAGAAAAAGATGGAAAACGAGTCGTATGATATCAGCAAAAGTATGTCGCTGCCTGCTTTTAACTCTTCTAGTGCTTTTACACATGAATATGTGGAAAACTGGTTGGGACAAGCCAATTTTGAACCCACAACCTACCCAGATGAGGAAAGTAAAAAAGCTGAGGAGGTCATTCTTGTCAAAAAAGAAGATGGCATGAGCATGGACGCTGAAATTAAGAACAGCGTCATGATTGTTGCAAAGGAAGTTAATAAGTGTTTGGAGAATACATCAGATCGAGAAACATGTGAAACACTGAAAATCAACCCACCGCCAGAGAATGTGCAAGCATCTTCAGTCAAACAAAGAATTCAGTCCTTTGAAAACAAATCGAGTCCATTACTGGAGAGGACCACATTAAATCAGCAAAGTGTCCACAGTCATACAACCCCTAAAAACTCAGAAAACTACAGTATTTTATCCCAGGAAGATACAACAATAAATAAGACCCATCAGACTGCTCATCTGGTAGTCCTGTCAAAATCTCACCACAAAATGCAACACCTGACGACACAATTTTAATGGATTTCCCACCACCCCCCTCACCGCCGGCTGAAGATCTGGAGCTTTCAAACACTGAATATTGTGTGACGGACGTTTCCTCCGCAGCCAGCAGCCCATTATACAGGCTATCATCAGTGAGCAGTCAAATGTCAGATAGTCATCCTTTATCCATCAGTCCTGCATCTGAAAAGGCAGCTTCTCCTACCGATCTCACAATGGAAAGGACAACATCAGCTCGGACTAACATTCCTTCTGAGCAGGGGGAACCACCACTACCTTTGATCAAAATGGCTCCTTTAGTCAGTAATTTCTCTCTTGGCAGGACAATGGCTCTCAGAAAGACTTGTATGGATAAATATGCTTTATGTAGTGATGCCACTTCGGAGACATCCACAGCAGCTGCTCACATCAATGTGGTGGGTAATGATGTGCTACAAAATGGCCTCCATTCAACAGACACATCTCAACATAGTGAACACCTACCAGACGAGACATGGCAATCAAAGAGCAAAAACGATGTGAAAAGTCAGTTATGTTTGACCTCTGCATCTCCTGCTAGTTTAACATCTGAAGAGAGAATGCAATCAGCAAGTATTTCATCAGATGATCACATAACACCAAGAGAACATACTAAGGAGAGCAAATGTAACGAAACACCACTGATATCGCCCACAGCGATATCGTCTCCCAAACCCCAGGTGAAAAAAGTACAACTTATGAGTAGTCCATCTCCAGAGAGAAAATCCGAAACCAGGAAGCTGTCATCTGAAATCTCTCAGAAATCTCCAAAATTGTCTTCATTTCATAACCGCCCTCCCAATATGTCACCAAATGTTGGCAGACCAAGATATGCAACACCAAATGCTAGCCCCTCCACTAGGAAGAAGCCGATGCTTCATCATCAACAGCCTCAATTGCAAAAGAGACTTTCTCCATACTCTCAGTCTCTGGATGTTGTGTCACCACCCGTCAGACACAGGTCAAGTAAAAAGTTGCTCTCCAGAAATCACTCCTCAGACGATACATCGGTGTCATCGCTTGAGGCACATGGGAAAACTTCATCCGGAAGAAAGAACTCCCAAACACCACAGTCTGTCAAATCAACAGGTGAACCGGACAAAACGCTTTCTTGTAACGCAGTAAATCCAGTGGAAGCGAATCAGAGTGATGACAATAAGGTGAAAAGGTCAGATGACCCTATAACAGCAGGTCAAGAGAAAGAAACACAAATACTGCCCCAGCCATTTAACATGCAAAATCAGCCAGACATCAAGTCTGTGCTTGAGGATATTTGCTACTCAATAAAGTCAATCAGACTTATCACACAGACCAAACGTCCCTCAGGTCTGGAAAGGTCGAACAGTCTGCCTGACTTCTCCTCTCATGTGGCTTCAACATTTGGCTCATCATCTAAAGCTCTCCTTGCTTTCTTGGCCGTCATGACTCTAAAGGAAGGCTTAACCAACCTAAATATGGACGAGCAGAACGCAAACAATGTCAGCTGTGCGGAGGCTTTAAAAATGATTGATTCACTTAAGGAAATTGCCAGCATTGAGGATTCTCACAAGTTAAAAGACAGCTTGTCAACTTTACAGCAGGCAGCTTCGAAGCAGCTCCTGCAGAGTTGGAAGGGCTTTCAGGAACTCAGCGACGAATGCAAGAGTCGCAGCTCTACACCTTATGATTCAGAGCAAGAATCTGTATCTCAGACTAGACCTGAAAAAGACTGCGGCATTGATAAAGATATTATGGACAAGGTCATGGATAATCTTGACATGCCTGAGAAGCTCAAGGAGGAATTGGCTTCTTTTTCACTGGGTTTCAAAAGTGACAAAGACGAGAAAGAGTGTAGGATTATCAAAAAAATGGAACCACCACTAAACAAAGACATTAATACAAAGCTATCCCATCTCTCAGCAGAATGTACTGTAACCGACAAGGATGTCACTCATGAAGAGAAAGCACATTTTAATGTCAGCTCCATCATTAAACAATTCACAGAGCAGTCAAAACAATCCAGAGCAGGTGGAGAAGAAGAGACAGTGAAGCACAAACTACCTGACCAGCCAATCAAAGAAAACAACGGCCATTACAGACAGAATAGTGTAGCTACAAGTCCACCAGCTGAATCTGGAGTTAGCCAGTGTTACAGTACAGAATTATCTATGAAAGAGAATACAAAGGGTGTGCAGTCATGTTATGAGGGAGAAGAAAGGCAGCAGCAAGACAACAACAGAGACAAATCAAGGAAAGATTGGGCAAATATGAACAGAGTTAGCAGCAATAAAAACATTGAACAAGACGGTTGTACCTCGGAGGTAGAGGAGCAAGAGATGGAGGGTGGTCAGCTGCAGATGAACAGTGAGGAGAGTGAAAGCGCTCCTGATAATGAGCTTACCCATCATGATTACTTAGGTTCAGAACTGGAAGTTCAGAGCATGTCAAGCGCAAATAAAGGTTTGGAGGTGAGCTGTGATGGAGGTGGTTCAAGTTCAGATGAGCGACAGAGTTCAGAAGAGGGGGCAGAAGTTGAATGTGAGGAGATACAGCAGGAGAGTGATGACTCGTCCAAACCCGAGAATTGCTCTGAGGTGGAGGAAGATAAGCAACTGAGGTTCAGTTACAGTGTAGAGGAGCCAAGCAACCAAGTCGCATTGTCTTATTCTGCAAGTCCCTTAAACTCAGAGAAGGAACTTCATGGTGGAGGAGGTTTAATGGGACAGAGCATCAGTGTTAACGACAGCATGTGTAACTCAGATGTGGATGAGCCAACTTCAGAGGAAGAGCAGCATGAGGCTGAATGTCAGGATCAAAGGGTTATGAATGAGGAAAGTTTATCTAATGACGAGGACGAGCAGGAGAGCACAGTGGAGGAGGAACACTTTGATGATCTTCTAGATCACGAGGAAAAAACAGAAGTATGTAAACCTTTAACGGCTTTGACAGAAGAGACAGTGGAGGACGAGGAAAGCTCAGAAGAAGAGGACTACCTCACAGATAAAAGACAGATGTGTGATAAGACAGGAAGTCAGAATACTGTTGGGGGTCTAAGCATTGTGATGAGAATCAGGGTTTATATAACAAGAAAGACAGTAGTAATTTGATCAAACTTGCAGATGAGGATAGTGGGAATGACCACAACAGCTGTTTAGAACATGTTGAGGTGCAGCAACGCACAATAAAGGTTGAACGAATCAGAGGCTCACACGAGGAAGAATTAAGGTGTTATGGAAAAGACTCCAGCTCAGAGGAGGAACACATCATCATGGACATATATGTAGAAGAGAACTGTATAGAAATGAAGGAGACTGTTGCATTTGCAGCACAGTCCGAAGACACAAAATGTGAAAAGGCTGTGGAAAAACCCAAGCATCACTCTGATGAAATCCTATCCCAAACTGTAGCAGAGAGAGTGACTCTCCTGGAAAAGCAAGTAGCTAATTGCCAGACGAGGAGAAATTCAAAAGAAAGCTCTCCCAAAAGACATTTTTCACATAGAAATGTCCCTCTTGAGCCCGAGGTTGTGGATTCTCCCAAGTCTCAGTCAGCGCCTTGCAGCAGATCAGCTCCTCAGTCATCGTTGTCTTTTAGCTACGACTCCACTGGTGTTATAACCAAAGAGCCCGAAGGCAACAGAGTAAGATCCATCAGGGAAATGTTCCTCGCAAAGAGTGCCACAGATATTCAGCAGGGACATAGACCTTTCCCAAGCCCGAACTCATCAGAGCTGGTTGAGCTAAGAGCACAGACTTCAACCAGTGCGGGGTACCAGTCTCAGACGTCCAGTGAACTGTCCAGTAGTGAAGATGATTCAGCACAGAAATCCATAAGTAAAGGCTTTGTCAGAAGAACAATTGAAAGACTTTATGGCATGAGAAATGGTAATACTGACCAGGAAGCAAACGAAAGGCCACCATCTGCCCCAAAAGAGACAAAGAATGAACGATCCAGCATTTTCTCTCCCTTTCATTTAGCTCAGGCAAAAGCAATGCCTGAGTTGTCTTACTTCAATTCCACGAGTGCTCTGGACAACTTAACCGAGGCAACACGCTGCATTGCTTTTAATGCAAAAGTCGTGCCTGGACACTGTGTTCCCATCAATACTGAACTGTTCTTCATCAGTGAGAACACACAAATCAAAAAGTCTCTTTCAGACCCGGTTGGAATAAACAAAACCTTTACAAACAGCCCGCGAGACGAAGGAATGGTTTCAAAGGAGAAATCTTCATATTCACTTCCCAGCAAAGAGTCTGAACTGGAAGACAAGGAGCTTTCACCTTCAAGGAAGTGCACCTACTTCTCTTTGCCCCATGCTAGTGACTCGGACGCGTGGCAGGAGGACATCAGTGTGGTTAGCAAAGGCAGTGCAAATGATGACAGTATAATAGATACAAAGGATGACTCAGAGGACACCAAAATGCCAGCAGAGAGGAACGGCATGCTGCCCAATATTGGCGTCACAGACTTTAAGAAGATGGATAACAAAGTGCACCCGCTGGTAGAGCTTCCAGCAGATGGCGAGGTTGTTGTCGTGCAGCCTGGGAAAGGTCACGGTGTAATGAACAGAAGGCTTCAGGAACCAGACGTGTTGGATTTACTGTATGACTTTTGTGGCCAGAATTGTCCCGTTCTTTGAGGACATTTCTTTGTCTTTAATCAACACTCACAAAAGGACTGAGAGCTTTTCTTTTTGTGTCTAAATACATGAACTGTTAGGCTACAGTATTATATTTTGTCTTTGGTGCCTACATTTTTGTTGTTGCCATAGCCTTGGCATTAAAAACTCTTGTATGTCAACTCATTTCAGCCAACTACAAAATATGTACCGACGTGTCACAGATGCACAAACAATGCATTAACCTCCATCCAACCTTCATATTTTATCATGTATATTTAACGAGCCTGTGCTTCACTTATCATGTTTTTGTAAAATAAGCAATTGTTGTTTTTCTCTCTCTCTCTCTCTCAAAAACATGATTGTGTATTTGCCACTCACACTTCCGAGCAGCTCTGTTCTTCTTATGGGTGGTTGCCTGTCAACACATTGAGTACCCAGAGCATTACTGTAATCTTGTTTTAAAACTCTTAAAACCCGATAAACTCCCAGCAGATGTCACGCAACACGGCCAATCCCACTGCGAGTTCCACGAGTGAACGGGTCAGTCGGTGGTCAGAGCTCATGTTCGTACTGAGGGAAATCCTGCATGCTTTCCCCCCCCCCCCCTTACTGTCAAGAAATCATCTGAGTGTGACACACCTGATGTGGAGACTGTAGACATTGTGATTAAGTTCGGTGCTTGATGTAAGATTTTGTAAATTGGTTGTGTAAAGTGTAAATAAGAAATGATTGATTTTTAAGAAGAATAGCTTAGAATACTTTAACAATAACCCCACCTTATTAATAAGAATGAATATTTTTATGGTGTACAATGTGGCAGCTGTGACAATTATGTCTCTTTAAACTGACCTGTAAGAATAAATGTGTGTATTTACAGATGGTATTCCTTTTTTGTTTTTGTCCTTGTGATTACTCTTTTTTCGGGTCTAAATTGGATTGTTAATACACACTAGCGTTGTAGTCAAGACCACACTAACCGAGACCAAGACATACCTGAGACCAAATTGCTCCGAGACTGAGACAAGACCAAGACATTTAGGGATCGAGAACAAGTCAAGACAAAGAGCAAGGCAGGGCAAGACCGAGACAAAACCAAGACTATAAATATCACAGAAAATTCATGTGCAGCAGGCGTCACTCACTTAGATCGTAACACCGGGAAGGTTGCGGCCATAACCAGGGGATAAAAATTTAATTATGAATGAATTGTTCTTGTTCTTTTAGAAAGAGGTGTTTTCCTTCAAATCACAGTAATGATGTGGAAAAGTAGCCTGTCAATGGTGGTCTTGATTTAAAATCCGGAGTCCGTCCAGTCTAAGACTGAGACCTTCAAAAAGAGGTTTCGAGACCAAGTACCACAACTCTAAAGCACACTGTAAAACAAGTTTTGAAGGGTAAATCAGAAGGTGGAGGTGGTCCCATCTATACAAGTCAACAGGTCAAGATGATTGTTGAGTTGGAGATACCTTAGGAAGCTCAGTTCAGTTGTTTTCTCCTGCTGATCAGTATCAACATCTCTGAGGAGGAGCGGAGGCCTCTTGTTTTCTCACTCTCTGCCTGAGGAAGTATCCATGTTGTTCTAAGGTTGTTTTGTTTCTCAGAAGTTGCCATCGGGTTGGCCCGTGTTGTGACAGGAGTGTCGAGGAATGCACTAAGAGGGGGGATTGTTTATATCTGCAACTGGAAAGAGAAAACATGACAGCAAGAAAAAGTCCCACATTTGACAGTCAATATATACCTGCCATTAAAGACCTCGATTAATATGTATCAGCAGCATTCTGGAGATAATGATTTATTTAAACAAGAAAATAAATACACGGCTGGGAAGTGCAAACCAAAATTACAAAGTGTGAAACACTTTCGCAAAACTTGAGAGACATTTTAGGAAACAAAATTACAAGATGCAAAACACTCTAAAAAGCACTTAGACAAATTTACAAGTGTTAGAACCCTTTTAGTCCCCAAACACATTTACAAACGACACAATCTTGCTGGAAAGGGAATGTACAAAATTTCTGAAGTGACCCGGAAGTGATCGAGTGAGTTATTATTAACAATTAATATGTTTTCATGGAAAGACTGTGCATTAACTGTCTCAGTTGGGTTCTGAAAAACTTAAAAAAGGTTGTCCGGTCAACATAAACTCAGTGCAACACATTTCACAGTCCTTACACCAAAATGAATCAATTGACGGCTCACTCAATCACTTATGGGTCACTCCTGGCATTTAGTGCATCCCCTTTCCAGCACTTATTGTCTCAACACTCCTAGAAGTGTTTTGCATCTTGTCAATATTTTTTCTAAAATGTTTATTTGTTGTCATTTCTATGGTGTTTCGCATCTTGTAATTTTCTTTCTAAAAATGTAAAAATTTGATTTTGTCTCAATTGTTCTTCACACTTTGTAATGTTAGTTTGCACTTCCCAGCCACCGTAGTAAATGCAGGGATTACAACAACAATGTCCACTAGATGGCAGTGGTGATTCATGCCGACCTTTAGAAGGGTCAAACAATCCAACACTCACCTGATGACGTGTCCTCCAATAAAAATGAGCAAACACAAATGTTTTAAATTGTTTATTATTTAAATAAATATTTACATAACAGCTTCGTATAAATCAAAGTACTTTTTCTTACATGACACACCCTTCTAAAAGCAACGAGAGGAAAGAAGAACCTAAGGGATGGATTACAATGATACTGAACGTCTGTGTTGTGAGAGGCTTCATCTCGAAGCTTTGTGTTAGTCACTGAGCAAATACTCATGAAGGCCAACCTGGATGAGCATCATTCAAATACCTGTTAGACCCTGATGGTGCACATCATTTCCATTAGACACTTTGTTATAGTATTCATAAATCCACATTATAATTTGATATACATTTGAATCTGTTTCCACTAAGAAGTAGGAGGATGATACTCTAGACTAATGCAATAAAAAGCCATAAGTATGATCGGCAAACATGAACAAAAAAATGAAATCGCACATTATTCATTCAGGCACAAACAAAGCAATAGACAGTCTCTGAGAAATTAAAAATAAAAAAAGATCACCCATACAGTATAGGCTACAATGCCCTGCTAAATGGTGTACAGTTTATGGCTCAGCTTGGAAAAAAAACAGGCGAGGTGATCTAAGAAAGTTAGAGCAGTCGATAAATGCCCAAGCTACAGTTTCTCCTGACACACGACGTCGCTCCAAACTGATGCTGGAAATGAGTCCAACCGATGCAGTCGCCTGGTGTACATGATTGGTTTGAAATGTTGCAATAAACGGGAAAGTGAAATCAAGGGCACTGGTGGGAAAAATACATCAACCCGAACCGCCTTCAACCGTAAACGTGATGTGGAAGCATCGTGGACAATGCTTAGAGCAAACAGCCGACTGTAAAGAGTTAAACATGGACAAACGCTCCTTGTACATGTTACATTGTTTGAGTATAAAACAGGACAGGAATCGTTATCAATGCAGTCTGTTGTTCACCTTTCAGGGATTGAGAGTAGAATGAAATGCTCTGATTTCTATTGCTGTCAGTTCATGCGTGTAAACTCGATACTGATAATAAGACCAATTGTTTACTTAAAAATGTATAAAAGAAAATACTCTTTTTGAGAAAATACGATTCAGGAAGGGGTTAAAGGGTGAATTAATAACTTTTTTTTTAAACAACACCTTGTTGTTTTCATCCTGAGATTTAAACCAATGTGTCTTCTCCAAGGAGTCGTTTACAGCTTCTTTTTGTTAATGATCCTAATACAGATTCTGTGTTAGACGCTGCGTCCAGTTGGTCAGTGAGTGTCTCGGTTAAATCCGATGTTACCTCTCCTGAAGACTGTCATACTGCATCCGTTTTGGGCTGGGATGAAGGAGTTCCACTCACAAAGTTATAAACCAAAAACTGAGAAGTGCCAAAATAATGCGTGGCAAAGAGTTTTCCATCGGGCGTGGGGTCGGAGAAAGCAATCTCATCTTTTCTCAGGTATGAGCCGAAGACAAAGTTGTTCCTGTCAAAGCAAAAAAATTAAATAAATAAATATGTATTCATTTTGGAACAAATTTAAAGATTTAAAGACACACCAACCTGAGGCACTCGAGCATGCGCGAGGCGATGCCCAGGCGTCTCATCATGTTGACAACCCAGATGCGGCTGATTCCACAGATGGCCGGCTCTGCAGTGGTCGAGCAGCACCAAGCTCTCTGACGTTCAAACATCACCTTCTCTCCCTCTGAGCCTTCAGGTGAGGGCTCCTCGATTACTCTGTACCCCTGTGAGGAGCAGCCAAAGGGTGGAGTAATGTTTATTGACAGACCTGATGCAGTTCTCCAAAACAAAGTGGTGTAATGTTGAACTGTAACGACTGTGGCACCCACAACGACCACAGCACCCCTAGGTGAGGTTTTCCAGGTTCACATTAGGGCTGTGCCCGAACACAGACGGAGCAAACTGTGCAAACAAGCCCGACTGATTTATCAGCTAGCCGATAATATCAGCCAATATAAGCATATTCAGTGACTATCGGTATTGGCTTCTTTAATAGCAGATATGTGCTGATATTACTAGATTTATTCTCCAGTCAAATAGCATCCCTCCCCAACATCGATATTGGTCCCAAAAATCCCATATCGGTCGCGCCCTAGTTATTTTTCATTAAGTTGCTTTAGTCACATTTCTCTATTTCTTTGGGATCTTTATATTTATATTTTATTAAATATTTTGACATTTAATCTGTGATGAATTGTTTTAGTGATCTTAATGTTTCTCTTTGTCTTCATGCTTCTGATGTCTTCTGTAAAGCACTCTGAGTCGCCTTGTAGCTGAAATGTGCTGTATCAATAATATATACATCCATACAGACACATCTCTTTGCTATAACCAGACTGTTGTCCCTTACCTCTTGTATGTGCTCTGCTATCAGGCAGCCGCCCACTTTCTTGTCGTTGGAGATAAAGAGGAACGTCTTGGTTTGAGAGGGACACTTTGTCTCCACCTGCTGGAAGCCGAGGTCATTGTCCACCATCTCCCTGATCTCCTCCACCTGAGACACAAATCGTTTGAGTGTAATGATGAAATCATTTGCTCGTGTTTTGATCGCTCAAGCCAAAGAAATTAAACACACTGTACCTTCTTCAGAGCATATTTGGGATCATCTGGCAGGACAAGAATGATCTTGCCATCGGGAAACTCTGCGAGAATCCTCTCCTTTTTCCATCCCTGAAAGAATCAACAAAAAATAAAGGTTTCATTATGTAAGAGAAACCAAAAAAGCGATCCATATATTTATCAGGGATGTGTGCAGCATCAGACCAAAAAGCAGGAACCCTCTCCTAACACACATGTTTATTAGGCCTATGTGAAAAGATGATCTCAACCACCTCGTCTGCTCTCTGTTTGTAAGAGATGTAAAAGCAACGTTTTGCATCTTCATGACAAGACTAAAGGTTTTGAGAAACATCTGTATTTGCCTGTAAATTTGGAGTGGAACCCCCACAGCTCTCCGTCTTTCTCTCACGGCAGCTTTGGGTTTAATTATGAAT